ATGGAGTATTGCAGTGAATAGGATTTGCAATATAATAACTTGATAATGATATAAATACGTTGTCAACTAGACGGAATTTTTTTATTTTCTTTGATTAAAAAAAAAAATGAGTGATGATAATAATAAAAATAGTATTGAAATTAAAGTTATTACTCCTAATGACAATGACAACAACGAAGACAATGGTGACGCACCGACGCTGACTGATATTAAAAAACTAGGCTGGGACGAGTTTAAATATGAACTCGAGCTTAACCAAGAAAGCAAATATGGAAAATATATCGATGAAATAAAGTATAGTTACAATCATAAATTCGTTGTAACTCATTCTAGAAAAGATCGAATCATCATTTTATGGACAGTTGTGGGAAAACATTTAAGTTGCTCTAAAATTTACAAGTATAGTAAGGATTTTGTCAAATCTAAGCTTTGTAACAATGAAATTTCCGATAAAGACAAATCCGATATTCTTAAAGACAAGCCCAAGGTTTATATTGATGAAATTTCTAATAATCAATGTGTTGTTATACAAAGTGAACATTGCAGTAAGTAATTACAACTAATATATATATATATATATATTAATTTATTTTAATTTTTTTAAAAAAATAAACTCTTAAAAACGATTCTAATATTTTTTTTCAGTATTGTTCAATCTAGAAAAAGGAAAAATCATCGAGTATCCTAAGAAGATTAGAAACAAAATCAAACATGATAAAAGAGAAAAAGACAAAGAAAAAGATGACGAAAATGACAACGAAAATGAAGGAAAAGGTCCACCTTTTGAAAAGGAAAAAGGTAACAAGAAGGACAACAATAAAGACAAAGGAAAAATTGAAAAATACACAAAAGTTATTTTTCAGAACAATGACAAGTCAAACTCTAAATTAGTGAAATTAATGATGTTGAGAAGAAGTCATAAAGATGAAAAAAAGTATAAAATATATTCCATGGAATATAACAGCAATTCTGGTGATTTAAAACTTCTTCATACACATAATATTTATAGTGATGAAACCCCAAGAATTTATTATGATGT